CGCTGCTGCAACCTTAATGGAGAGTCCAAGTGGAGGAATTGGGCTGTTAGCAGCCGTGTGCGCAACGGCCTCCGTTTGATGGGCTTTTGACAGGGAAGGGCTTAGGCCACCAAACGCTCCAGCCATACGGCAGACTCGCATCAGCAGGGATTCCCCCATCTTCCACTGACGAGTGTAATCTGGAGTCATTTATCATCTCTCCATCTGGTGGGATGTGGATATAGCTGGACTCCAATGGGAGCTCCTGGGCACCTCTAAAAAAAAAAAAAAAAAAAAAGCCCAGGCTGCTTATTGAGGAGCCTAAGGTGCATCTCTTGTGTTAGAAAAAAATGTTGCTTTCTCTCACTGTGGATTGTCCCTGCACAGACCAGGCAAGAATGCATGGGTTCTTCAAAGTCCCTGGTGGGATCTGTCATGAAGCTCATTCACCTCATGCCCATTTGAAAATCCAGCGGTGATGCTTAAGTGGGATGGTTTGGGGGAAATCTCACACCATGTTTGCTTCTTGTCATTAAGTGACTGCCTTTGGAAACTCTCATTTGCCCTCCTGAATGTGGTCTACAGATCTGGTACCACCAGTAAGGGTTTGTGAGATAGCAGAACCAGGAAATACTCAATAGCCCCTGGGAAAGTTTGCAGGCCATTACAGGGCAAAAATACCAAGCTAAAATGCTTTTCTCCTTGCCAATCAAGCCAGACTGATGCAGTCCCAATGAAACAAAAACAAGGGCACTTATACGGACACTTGGGATTGTACTGAAGTGTGCTGAAATACTATCATTTGCATATGAGTGCTAAGTGGACTTTGCATGAACCACATTATTGGACCGTTTACCAGGTTTGCTCAACAAATAGAAAGCTCTTGGAAAACCGTTCTGCCTCCAAATATTAAAGCTAGTCCCCTGCCAATGGTAAAAACTTTATCATTTCTGTCATACAGGCAAGGAGCTGGAACACAACAGCAAAGCTAGCAGGGATTTCTATGCAATCATCCCGCACCATGGAGTTTTTAGCAAAACACAGGTACAAGAGGATCTTTCAATTTTTTTTCCTGGTACACGAAACATCACATTTAAAATGTGTTAAAAAATACAGCAGTCCTGGAGTGCCTTAAAGCCATCTCTCTCCCTGGCTCCTGCATAAGGGCTGCTCTCAGGAGTGCAGATGGGCTTGAATCCGTCACTTTTCCTCGCAACAAGCAGGGTCCGGGAGACGATGCAAATGGGTGCTGATACTATGAGGGATCTTGCCGCGTGGAAAATGACATCCAGTTTCCTTGCTCATTCAGAGGGAGCTGAAGGTGGTGTCAAGGCAGACCTGTCACTTGACAGGTAAAAATTGGCAGGCAACACTTAAACCAGGACTAAAACTGGCTCCCGCAGCAACAGAAAAAGACGTCCTGATGCCGAGGTCCCAGGCAGAGATGAGGCGAGATGCAACCATCGGGGAAAGGGGTTATCTCAGAGAAAAATCGCTGATGAGAGATTAGCACAGGTCAAGAACCCAGACCGTGGCTCCTTCATTTATTTCATAAAACAGGTTCGCTTTCCGCTGTAAAATATCACCTTCTTGCTCATGCTTCCTTCCATCATCAGCTAATGTCCAACTTGGTATAAGAGGGCTCGACTCCAGCAGTTCCTTTACCCTGCTGGACTATAGCCCCTTGTCTCTCTCCTGGCTGCCTCCACTATTACCCATCTTTTTGTTCGATCCTGTCATTATGGGAACTTTTTTCCTCTGCAGCTTCTGCCATGAGGCTCAGGCTTCTTCTGCAATCTCTCCCTCTCATTGCAAGAGATGGGGCACTTAATGCAATGGGCCAGGGATCTGGAAATCCCCCCTAAAGAGCCTGGTCAGGAAAGACATCAGGCCTGATGAAGAATGCCTTGCATTTGAAAGCTTGTCTAACTTTACCCCAACCAGTTGGTTCAATAAAAGTTATCACCCACAGAAATCCTTGAGGGTGATATCACGAGGGTATAACATCAGCATGATATAATGAGGAGACGCACTCCTGCCCCATTCATTGCCCTACCTCTTTCTGTCAAAGTTGAGATGACAGGCCTATCGACGCAGGATCAGAATACATACGAGCGGAAAACAGCAGGTCTGAATAACTGGTTCAGCCACTAATTGACCAAGGGGGAGTTTCCCGCTCTGCTGCCAAACCAGCATGTCCATAATGAGAACCGAAGAGACCTGCTGAAGCACAGCACTGAAGCAGAACTGCTGGATAGTCAAAGCACAGCAATACTCACCATCACCGCTGGGAGCATCAAACATATCACTCCACTAGCCCTACATCTTTCAGTGCAACCAGAGTCCTTAGGAAGCCACTCGGGAAGGATTCTCACTGGCCAGTCTTCCCTTCCTAGGGGGCCATTAGTAGAAGCGTGGGGTTTTTATCAATCAAAAGCCAGCCTGGTGCTGCATGAGAAGGAGCAGGGACTCTTATGGGAGCACATGAAAGCAAACAGCAGTTGAGTGAGGGAAACAGCGTGACGACAGCAGAGAAAATAGCAATGCAATGAGGGCTCCGGTGCCATTGCAAAAGAGAGAACAAAGGGCAGGCAGGTGCCAGCACCATAGTGCGAGACAATAGAGATCAAGCAGGTGCCAAGGACAAATTGCTCTGGCTTTTCTCTGCTTAAGAGCTTGCGGAGTCTGCAGGCAGCTTGGGCATGGTACAAATTTGGTGATTCAATCCAAAACACATCCCATCCCTACAACAGCCTTGTAACCTGGAGTGATAAAGGGCTTCAGGAAGAGAAGGTAACCAAGATGGATGAGTGCTAAAGGGGTTCTGGATACTGCTGGGTCAGTCCTGCCAGGAGCCTCCCCAAATGCCCTAACCAGCCTTTGCTCAGGATGAAGAGAGACTCCTTTTGCTCTGCATTTGCTTGCTTACCTACAGCATCGCCCTAATGGGAGAGGATCTGCCTCCTGTCAGCTTGCCCCTGTGTGGAAACATTTCTAAACTACCCTGTCTGGGTGCTCAGGCAGATTCACTCACAGGCATGGATCTGCAGCTCCTCTAAACTTCAAGGGAACTGCAGGTGCTCAGCACTTCTGAACATCAGTCTACTTGTTTCAGTGCCCAATTCAGATTTAGAAACCAGAACACATCAGGCAGTCACAGCACTGAGAAGCAAACTAGCCCTTACACAGTGAAGTGGCAATAGCAGGGGCATAGTATCTGGGCCCTGCTGTATCACTGACCCTGGAATCAGCAGAAAATACCGTTGGAAAAGGGGACAGAGAATAAGGAACGTAATACATTAATAGCAGGTGGGGGATCAGCAAGCACTCAAGGGGAAAGAGACCAAGAGGAATGGGAGGGGAGTAAAGGGAAGGATTAGACCTGGCCAGGACTGGGAATGCCCATTACATGGGAACCTCTGACACTGGTGATTCTTTCCTGCTGCAAATTGGACGAAAAGACCAAATTCTGACATTTCCCCCAAAACTCAACTGCAAAACATCCTGTTTCAGTTGGGGCCCTTGAAACATTTTGTTTCTCCTTTACTGCTCTGATGCACTTAATTGAATATGAAATATTTATACAGAAAAAAAATATACATTCATGTTCAATATTATAGAAAACCTAATATTTTAATAGTCTATAAGCGTCCCAATGAAACATTTTTGCACTGTCCAGAAGATTATGAGGAATGAGAGAGGTTCCTGGGAAATGTTTCAATTCTGAGAAAAGTGCATTTTTCAATGGGAAACTCCTTCTATCAGCTCTAATAATAATAAATGAAACATTTCTGCATAGGTTTTAACCTGCACCCTGTATCCTAACTCTGCAAGACTGGCTCTGCTTTTATTTCGGCTGTGGTGAAAATCAGGAGTAAATCCATGGACGTTAGCAGTATAACCAGGATGAGAATCCAGGCCAGAAAATTCCGACTGGATTGACAAGAAATGGGAAATGGGTCTTTTAAATTAAGGTGATGGAGGATTTTTCTTGACAGCTGTGTGGAATCCTGTCAGAGATTAAATCGTGCCAATTTGATACCTGCCATTCTCCATAAATCATGGAAAATACTTTTATTTTTATAAAATGCTTAATAGAAGCCTGTTGTTTCCCATGTGTAAGAGGGTCCCTTGCCCCATTTTGTTGCCCCGGCTGCCGTTTGCCCTCGATGCAGGTGGAATGAGAATGGTGTGGAGTTATGTCCTTCACTGATTTATGCCCGCTGAGGACCTAACCCATGAAAGCTGCTACATTTAAATGAAATCTGGTATTTTAGGATACAAGAGCTTAAAGGAAGAAGCAATGCAAAAATAATTTCCTTGCGCATAGAGGATGGGGTGGTTGGTATGGATTTAACAACAGGGCATGAATTTAAATTGATTAAGGCCTTGTCTACAAGGGAAGAGTGCATTGATAGAAGCTAAAGTATGAATTTAAACTGACAGAGCCATTCTAGTCGGACTCCTTCTCTGGTAGAAGAGCGCCAATTTTGATTAAGCCTCCGTCATTTGGGAAGTGGCTAGACTCAAACTAAAATAATCCTACTCTTCAGCTGAAGCAAACATGGCTGCACAGAGGTTTGAATCAGTTTAACTAAAGCAGAACACATTTGTAATGCAGACAGCCCTGTGTGTCTGCAGCCAGTGAAAGGGTTGTAGGCACTGAATGCTGTCCCCTAGGAAAGGGGGCTGCTATGTCTGCTGCTGAAGCTGGACAGACTCCGATCTGGTTGGAGAGATGGTCCTTGAAGGAGAATTTGAAATGCCTGGGGATGCTCCCAAGTTAGGGGAGCAAGCGATTGCTTCCTTCCAACCCATGCACAGTGTGAGCTGCAGTTAAAGCCACACTGCTTGTTCCTTGTGAAGGACCTAATCCTGCCAGGCAGGGAACTGCCAGGTACTCTCAGCTCCCACTGAGGTCAGGGGGTTGGAGTCTGGGCTCAGCACCACCCAGGCAGGATCTCAGCTGCCAGCAGGAACAGCCCTAAGCAGCAGGCTTGCAGGGTCCCAAACAGCCTTACCTGTCTGAAGCCACTGCGTGTGTACTGCAGGATTTTCAGGGCATAGTTTGACCGCTGACCTTTGCTGTTGAATTCGATGTGGCCGGTGAGACCTTCCAATTCTACCTGTCCAAGAGAGAGTGAGTTACAGCGCCAATTGACATGGCCTTAAGCAGACTCTCCCAACTGCTGCTGCTTACTTTGTTAGCAAGCGCAGGGCTGTGGAGTGCCTGACATTTACCCTCTCACTAAAGCCGTGGGGAAGGAGCATGAGTAGTATTTTCACATAAGGATTTTAATGGCCTTTGTCATCTGCCTGGAGCAAGGGGCCAGAGGAGAGCACTGTTAAGCTGCAAGGAGTTTCCTTTCCCACGGAGCCTCTCTTCCCTCCTTCATCACCCCCCCCCCCCCCATGCCCAAAACCCCCCCTTCCCCCCACAGCTGCCCCTGGCCCAGCTGCAGAACTAAG